ATAAGCATCCCCTAAAATCCTTCTTTTCCCCCAGTATGAAGTCCTTTCTAGAAATTCATTCTAAATTAATGAAAAGCCCCAGACTAGGGTTCATGATATTATTCAGGTGTTGAAACCATACAGTGTGCCCAGTAGACTAAGAACAGAAGGACCACAGACCAATTGTGAATGCCTTCCACCCATGACACCACTTCTAATAAAGCACTGGTGGCAGACATTAGAATTTTAAAAAATAATGCAGCAACTGTGTTCATCATAAATTCAAGGCACTTTCCATTACAAAAACCCCTGTTTCCTTTTTTATCTTGATCACAATATTCCACTAAACCTTTGATAAAATCAATTGTGACTCATTCATTTTTCTTCCTGCAAAAAAATAATACATCTTGTATTCTGTCATTCTTAGAATTCAAAAGAGAAAAAACAGCATTAGTTTTAATCCCACAGCACTCGTTAATGAAATGCAGGATCTGGGGAAACAAATTTTAGGGCAATCCATTACAGTCAGCCCAGCAAACACATTTTCATGCTTGATTTCGGCCTCTTCTCACTTAGGAAAAGTTGGACGTCGAACCCAAGTTGTAATTGGCGTCTTTTTAGACCTAATATCCCCACTTAGAACAGAGAAAGTGTCTATTATTGTGTGATCCAGCAAAACCATATGGATCTTCCTAGACCTTCCTGGATCTCCACTGTAGGTAGACCTCAAAATGAGGTTAGAATTATCTAAGACATTGGATTGTCACTTGACCTCCTGTTGCTAGGCATTTGGGGCCAGTTGAAAAATGCACATTTTACGCAGTTACCTCAGAATCTGTGCTGAAGTGGTCTAAAATATACAATTCCTTGCAAACCCAATCATCCATTTATTAATATTTGTTTCAGTTCTCTATTACATCACAGGAAGCACACGGCTATAACAATTCTCATTTTAGATCTGTTTCATCTCACTGTTTGTCTCACCAATGGATTACTCTGATGGCTGACTAGGTAAGCCCCAAACCAGTGTTCTATGTGAATTTTAAACCAATGGCTATTTTTGGAAAAAAAAAAATCATGTCTTTCCCATGTCCTCACTCCAAGATTTAAGTGGGCATAGCCTCCCCTTGCAAATCTCTGTCCAGAACAATGCTGTTTGCTGCTTTCTTCTTTCCTTGGATATTTAATGTATAAGGCAAGTAGCTTCTGATTCTGTGTCTAAAGATTTGCCCTTAAATGTCCTCGGTGTGTTCAAACCCGTGCCTCTGACAGAAACAGTCCTTTTGTTGTGGCCGGTGTCTGGTTGGAAGAAAGGCTCGTGACCCTGGCACCGAGCTCCAACATCCCACCCAGGCCAATTTGAGAAGAGAGTCTGTGACAGTGAAACCAAAGCATTAGGAGAACGCTTTCCCAAAGAGGTCTCGAGTCTAATTAATAGCTGTCAACTGATGCATTATGCAACCGGGAACTCCCGCCGCCCCTTCCCAACAGGACTATAGTGTGTGTCATTTTTAAATCGACTCTCCAGACGTTTGCCTTTATGCATCAAAATCTTGCTCCCAGATCTCCTAAATAAGTTCTTTTGAAAAGCAACTTAAAAATGGACACTGAATGAGAAAATGGGAATGATTGTCATCATTCACGGGAATCTTTTTTTCAACCCATATTAGGTGGCTAAACAAAGGAGCCTTTTCACTCTTCGTATGCATGGGGAGTCCAGTAGAGAGAGAAGAGAATGCATTTTGTAAACTTCAACCTTGGTGATTAGGATTTCTGATCTGGCTAATATAACTAAGCCTGCATTTTGATCCCTGCTAAATTATCTTCCAACTCATCCCGTGGATTGCTCCAGGCACATCTGACATCCTTTAATACTGAAATGTAAATTAGACACCCCCACGAACCGCCTCCACGCTCTCACATTGCCCTAAATTTGGACTTTACTTTCCTCCCTACACTTGAGCTGCTCTTTTCAATCATATGTCATTCCCCCCAAAAAGCATTGTCACAGAGGATAAAGAAGACCAATGTCTTTGTAAAATCACCCAGTTTAGAGCCAGCTCCAGGCTCAGTTTCCCCAACCCCACGGCTTTCCCCCTAAAGGCTAGAAGACCTGGGAGAGCAGAGCTGACTCCAAGGAGCATTTGGCCCTTTACGGGTCTCTCTGCCCAGCGCAGCTGGGGCACTGGCACAAAGGAACAGCTATGAGCTGGGGTATTTCTACAGCGGGCACTAAGCGCTGACAGCTGGAGCAGGAACTATTTGCCCGTCAGACTCAAACAAATCCTGAAGTCAGAGGAAAGTCAGGCAAAATCCTCTGCTTTGGCCCTCTGTGGTCATCAGTTACAGGAGTAAGTAAAAGATCATCTGAAATCCATCGCTGCCTGAAAGTTATTAAAACTAGAAGCCACATGTAAGTCATCCAACTAAGTGGGGAGGGGGGAGCCAGCTCTCTACCCAGAAAGGAGCTTCTGTTCAACTTTATTAAATGTTTTAAGCAGATTTAAGTTTTAGTCAAAGGACAAATTCCAGCTCCCTGAGGAGCACACCCCCAGAATCTTGGAGATCAGCCAGAGAGCTGGTCACCCAGCTGGTGGCCAGAGGTCGGGGGCTGCACGTGATGTGAGGGGGGAGATGGGCACAGGAAGGACAGAAGGCAGAAAGATAGAGGAAGCTGGAAGGGATTTGATGGGCAGAAAAGGGAGGCAAGGAGTGAGATGTGCATATTGTGGGATTTTATCAACATTCAAGGAAAGAAGGCAGAGAGTTCTTGCCATAGCCTGCAAACGGGTCTGATGGAACGCTGAGGGGCAGGGCCATGACTGCCGAGCTGCCCTAATTACACATTTAGCAGAAACGAGGTTGCGACCCTAATCATGGGGTGAGTTCCGGGACATTTGATCTCTCCCTGGGGACCCAGTTAAGTGATCACCAGGGAGCTGAGACTTTCTGGAAAGCTCATGAGCATGATGCTAGGCAGGAGCCTAGCTGAAGACGGGGTGACAGCCAGAGGGGAGAACCCGCAGGTGAATCACTGCTCCCGGAAGAATCTTCCTAGATAACCTGATGGAAGAAAGGGGGTCCCTCAAGGCTATGCTGGTTTCTACATGAAACTATTAAGTTATCTATAAAAAACCACTCCACACAGCACCCATCCTTCTTGTTGCAAGCAAGGTGAGCTGACATGAACACAGAAGCTTCTGAAATCTCTGTCAAGTCCAGCAGAAAGCCCCTCACCCAAGCAGGCAGGAGATGGAGGCCTGGTCCTCATTGCCCTGTGTCATTTCAGAGCCCTGACTTCCTTTTCCTCGCCTCCCACCCTCCTTTTCTTTCTCCTTCTCTGGCACCTGCCATTCAGAGAATTCCACATGCATTTAGACATCAAGATCCACCTGGCGGTCGGCAGCCCAGCATTGCGGCCCAAGTCCTGGCTCGCCCTTCGCTAGCTGGTGACTTTGTTTTTTGTGAGGAAAATCAGCCCTGAGCTAATATCTATGCTAATCCTCCTCTTTTTGCTGAGGAAGACCGGCTCTGAGCTAACATCTATTGCCAATCCTTCTCCTTTTTTTCTCCCCAAAGCCCCAGTAGATAGTTGTACGTCATAGTTGCACATCCTTCTAGTTGCTGTATGTGGGACAGGGCCTCAGCATGGCCGGAGAAGGGGTGCGTCGGTGCGCGCCCGGGATCTGAACCCCGGGCCACCAGTAGCGGGGCACACACACTTAACCACTAAGCCATGGGGCCGGCCCTAGCTGGTGACTTTGAACCAGTTGACCTTGAACTTCTCTGTGGCTCAGTTTCCTCATCTGTCGGTTGGGAATGATAATAGCCCCAACCTCCCAGGGTTGTTGGGAGGCTCAAATAAGGAAACACGGGTGGAGTGGTAGACCTCACGCTGGGCACTGAGACCGATGGGCCAATGGGAGCTGCTGTGGTGGTTCCCGTTGTTGTTGTTGGAAGGGTTTCAGCCTCTCCATCTTCCTCTCCCTTCCTTCCTCGATCCCTTGGCTCCACCCCAAACCCCATTCCTAAATTTTATAATGCTTTTCCCACTCCTTCTTCCATGTTTATATCAAAAGTCACCCACCAGAGAGATAAAAGCAGTAAAGAGGCATTTTATTTCTGAACTTGTTAATTTTACTCTAGAGTTCCAAAAAAAGGATCACCCATCTGTCCAAAAACAAAAAAAAAGACAGAAAAGATAAAAGATCTTAAAAAGTAATTATTTAAGTGCCAAAAAGGAAATGAAAATGGACTTTTCTCGGTTTTCCAATTCAATTAGAGGGTGGTGTTGTACAACCTCAAATCTGCCTCATTTAAAAGAAAGAAAGAGAATATGATCGTTTTAAAAATAAAATGAGCTATCGGTTTACCCCAACAAAATATTCATATAAACATATTCCAAGAAGTGACTTTCAATTGAAAACTGTAGCTCCTCTCCTGCCAAAGTCTCTCCTTCCTAGAGCCACACACCTATACACAGGTTTTTCATGGTTCATACAATTTGCATTTCTCTCACTGGTACTCTGATTAACTGCAGATGTAGTTTGCACAGGCAAAGCTTCCACACGCCATGCAATGAAATCCTTCCCCCACTTCTCTGCCAAGGCTGACTTTCACCAGATGGCCTGCCTGCAAGCACTCTGAAAGGTATCCACCAAAGAAAACACATGAAGACTTGCTGGAAGTAACGCAAAATCTTCTTGAGAGACTAAAACGATCGGCTTTCTCTTCTGAGGTCTAAAACCCAAAGCACTGCCCAAAGTCACAATTAAATCAGAAGCAAACAATTCATTCCTTCCTCTTTCTAAGTGAATTTTAAAAAGTTGCAAACCTAACCAGTGTCTGCACGTGCCACACAAACCGAGCTATCGATAGTGCCAGTCCTCAGAGCAAATAGTTACAGGGTTGACTTGCTCTTCACCACCACTCGGAAACCCTTCACATTTTCTGAGCCTAACTGTGCAGCGAGGTCCCTTCTCACTCCCGTGTTTCCCTCTTCAGGTAGAAGCACCACTCACCTCACTCATGTTGCCTTAACACAGCAGCTCTGGATCCCCGCCGCTCAGCACGGAGAGCACTGCTCAGGGGTCGCTATCCCCGGTCCTGGCTTTCCTCTTAAAAAGGGCTGCCTGGTGGCATCACGCCTTCCGTAAGCCAATGAGATTCATTCACCTGTCTGAACGCCTCGCAGATATCTGAGAGCACAAAGGGCCACCTAGTGGAACAAAAGAGGAAGGCGGGCTAGGTCACTGCAAATTCTGCCAGGGAGAGAAGGAAATGCTGGATTAAAAAAAAAAAAAATTCAAAGTCAGAGGTACAAAGGTCATCACAGGAATGCCATTTTTCGTTAATTCACGGGGCACAGGATTTCGACACTTGGAAAATACATTTTCAGTGTCAATGGAAAGAAGATTTGTTTTTCGAAGGAATGCAGTTCTGAAAACACCAGTGAGTGCTCTGTGGCATCCCTCCTTGTCTTCTCAGGAGCTGCAGCCTCCCTGCACTTTGTAGCACACATCTCAACCTTTAGAGTTGAACATTTTCCACTCCTTCTCCCCCGACCCCAAATCCGTCAGCGTGCTTGTACCCCGGGCACTTCATCCCTGGCTGGAAGATAGAAGCAGGACTAGGATATCGACTTGGAGAGTCACATGTGACAAGAGAGGAGAGGAGCTCCCTCAGCTTCATCTGTGATTGTCATAACCTCACCAGCTTTGGGAGGAAGACTCAGCTTTGACCCTGGAATCAGCTAAAGGTCTCATTGCCTCGAGCTATCTAGCTTCTCTGTGAAGAGATTCAATCCTTTTGCCCAGTGCCGGACTCGTGAGACCCCGAAGAGTCTTCATGGCATCCAAGTGGACCCTTGACTTGCACAAGGGAGATGTCACAGACTGGGGAATGTAGCTGATGCACAGAACTGAGATGTGCGTGGATGCCTGTCTCCTTGGTCCATCGCTGGTCAGGGTGCCCTCCCGCAACTTTCCAGCTTCAACTGGGCCCCACATTCAAGCAGAAGCCTCAGCAGGGTAATGATGATGCCATGTCCTGGTGAATAGTCCAAGTGATGAGCAGTAACTCCTCAAATGCCAAGGACCTCCTGGAGATACAAACATATCCAAGCAGCGGCCACCAAATATCTCATGTGGATAAATCAATGAGAAACTCGGTGGTTGTTACAATCCTAATGCTTCACAGAGCCTCACCCGGCACCCCAACACAGGGAGACTCAGTCACCAGCTGCATATGGAATCAGTACAGAGCACGGGCCTTAATCATGATTCTCCTCCATTGTCTTCTCTGCGGCCATCGCCATGGCAGCCTCTCCTTTCAACTCCTTCTTCCATGGGCGCCTCCATCTCTCACTTCACACTCCATGGGGTTTTCACCCAGCCTCCATGCCTTCCTGCTCCAGGCTTTCTGTTCCCAGATGCCACCCTCACCTCTGCACCCCAACAATCGTGGCAATTCTAATTCTCTCCCTGTTCTTTCTTTATCAGCCTCCCTCACTGCTAAGGAATGACCCATCGTGACTGCTCTGGGGTAAAGTCCCTCCATCTCTGCCTTGCAGGTGCCCTGAAATCAAAATGCTCTAAGGGAACGTGTGAATATTTGAGTCATCTACTGTTTGAAACTCTACCAGTTGGATCCACAGAATCAACTTCCCTGAGTTTGGAGGAAGAAGTAAGAAGTGGTGACTACAAGGCAGGCGCAAAACTTAAGGAGGCACTCACTCTCAGGTTTGTGCAAATGCCAACGCTGTGCTTGCTGGAACCTGAGAATCGGCACCTCATTAAACTGTTCTGTGGGTGCCAGGATTGTGCCCCCTGGTCCTGCCTTGCTAGCAGCTCCCCAATTCCCGGGAGAGGGTCAATGAGTTTGTATTGCCAACTTAAAACGCAAATTCACCTGCTATTTTATCCTGAAAACGAGTTTATTTGGGAATAGCCAAAAGAATTTCCAGATGTGCATGCTGTGGTGAACCATAGGCAAATCTGGAAAACAAAGGAGGGAGCTGCCTTTATAGAGAACAAGGGGGAGTAGGGAGGGGCTGTTCTAAAGGAAAATCCATTGGGGCTAGAGTAACAATTCAGGGTGGCAATGGCTTCTCATTGGCTGAGCTGTGGTGTTTCTCATTGGCTGAGCTGTGGTGTTTCTCATTGGCTGAGCTGCAGGGTTTCTCATTGACTGAGCTGTGGCATTTCCCATTGGCTGAGCTGCAGGGTTTCTCAGCTGTTGCCAGATGGGGAGAGAAATCTTCCTTCGGTAGTAAATTAATTTTATTTTGTGTCTGAGACGCAAGCGTCCATCTCTTCTTAGTTGGTGTAATTGACAATTATGAAAGGGCATGAAAGCTCCCCCATAGGCCTTCCTGACTCCAATTTAGTTAACGTTCCTTTTATTCATTTCCACAATACCAAAGAATAAAATCACAGTAAAAGGCAAGAACAGGAGCCCTTCTAGGTCACCATCAAAGAAGAGGCTGTGAACATGGTTCTTTGTAGAGCCGTCTAGCCAGAATGCACATTTCAGATGCAACCAGGACAAATAACTCCAATCAACAACGTGAGCACTTGATTGAAACTTCAAAACTTCCTTAACGTGGGTTACTGCTGCGGATCCTGGTTTGCTGCCCCAGGACAAGGAGCAAAAACAGCTTTTCCACAAGCGGGACTGAGTGCCTGGGGGAGGTGTGGGGGAGGCAGAAAGGGAGACTCAAGGAACATTCAAGTCCTATTACCTGGCCAGTCCTGGGGTGGGAGTTAATGGGTCTGGCAAGAAGATTAAGTGTCCCCTGACACCTTCCTCTTCCCACACTCCCCCCACTGCCCCTCTGCCCCCTGTGCTGAGAAGACCCACAACATCCCAACTTGTATTAATCCTCTTCTTGCCCTAACTCAGCACCCACTATGCCCTCCTCTCTTTGACATCCAGTCTTCCAGCTCCAGTCTCCTCAGGGGCTCCTCAGTGAGGGAGGGAAAGGCCACAGGTCCCCAGACGGGCACCAAGTAAGCACGGGCCACCGTGGAGGCCAATGCAGGAAGCCTGGGTCAGAGACTTTGTCTGTGCTGCATGAATACGAGTGAGCACAAACATGAAGCAGCAAGAAACACAAGTCTCCTAGGCTTGTGGGAACCCATCTTCTTAATTTATAGCCACTTTACGAAGGAATTTGTCTACAGAAAGGCACCTTTCAATGGGAATATTGGTCTATTCATTATAATAACTCATATTTCACAGAGCAACAGAAATGGACTATATGTATATAAATTATATGTATTTATATATCCCAACCACACGAACCATTTGCAAACTAACAAAGGATGTGTCTGCGAGCGCATCCTGACAGCATCCTCCTTATCCTCTTACTCCCCTTTCCCCTCCCCTAACCCACACTGCGGAAGGGGTGGGGGAGTTTCACACAAGGGAGGGCCCAGGCAGGACGATTTTAGGATTCCCCAGGTCGTTAGAAATGGGAGAAGGGAAGAGGATGGGTCTACAGATGTACAACAGACCAGAGGAAGGGGAGCAGAGCTCACTTCTCTGCATGAGGAGCAAAACCGCACCCTCCTCAAGGGAAGCCTGTCTGGTTGGGGATTTTGAGCACCCAGCACCTGGAGGTGGAGGAGGAGATCTCCCAGTGGCAACGTTGACAGGGTCCCACATGTGATTTTGCAGGCAGAGAGGATAGGTAAAAGGGACACAGAGAACCAGCCTGTGCCCTGCTGACCTGACTCTGATGCACACATTAATTTTCCCATAACACAGACACACATATCGATTTGCAACAGCTTGGGGTCTGGGGAACAGGGAACAGTTGCTGGAGTTTCCAAGGGGTGGGGCCAGGGTTGGTGGGGCCCAAGCTGGGTTGTGGCTTTGCTGAGTAGACTGTGCAATTGTTTGGATCAAATGAGGGGGTGTAAAGGCTATGAAAGAGAGGATGGATGATGTTATGTGCTGAATTGTGTCCACCCAAAATTCATATATTGAAGTTCTAACACCCGGTACCTCAGAATGTGACTGTATTTGGAGAAAAGGTCTTAAAAGAGGTAATTAAGGTAAAATTAGATCATATCGTTGGGATCTAATCCAACAAGACTGATGTCCTTAAAAGAAGAAGAAATCTGGGCATAGACCCAATATAGAGGGAAGATGATATGAGGACACAGGGAGAAGATGGCTACCTACATGCCAAAGAGAGAGGCCTCAGGAGAAACTAATCATGCCATTAGCTTGATCTCAAACTTCCAGCCTCCAGAACTGCGAGACAATAAATTTCTGTTGTTTAAGCCCCCCAGCCTGTTATGTTATGGCAGCCCTACCAGACTAATACAGATGACAGAGCAAGCACTCAGAGAGGACTTTTGGGGAAAGATAGAAGGATCTTAAGGGGAATTTGATCAGTGTTTGCCATGTGGCGTGTAACTTAACCCTATTCATTCTCCCAGGACGTCTGTAGTAAAACACTTATCTCCTGTTAATGAGTTGTGGAGTTGCCTGTTTTAGAGAATACAAAGCAAATGTTGAGTATGGCGCAGGGGGAGGACCAAGTGGCCTGCAGGAAATCAGTGCCCACAGGGTTACACAGGAAGCATCCCAGGGTGCACCTCACGCGGTTCCATGTATGCACGCTGGCCAGCTCCACAGGCACTCCGGCACTGAATGCTTCTTCCATTATCTCCCAACAGGTGGGCCCTTGGACCACAACTCCCAACTCCATCCATTCTCTTGGGGCAGTAGTGCCCCAACAAGACCAGCCATCAGGCCTAGGATTACAGACTCCCTGGACCCGGTCTCAGAATCCCGAGGGACAAGGATGGTAAATGAATGGTCTTTGCGCCTTTTTGTCTGGTTCTGATAAGCAATCAAGTTTGAGAATCATTGCTTAAAGCAGTGGAAGAACAAACATATACACACGCACACATCATGCCTGCCAAACTTTCCAGGCTCCCTCCTGCGTCCTGCCCACCCTCCTCCCTCTACCTCCTTTTAGGATCTGCGTGGACATTGTTGACTCTTACATGTACCAATTTTATTGAAACAGCTTCAACACCTCTCTATCACAGGACTTTCCTCAGATCAGCCAAACACCACATTACGTGGTAGATGGAGTCACGA